AATTCAATTTTTTACACTTAACTATAAGTGTTTATGTATTCACTTATGTGTGTATATTAAACTATCATCAAATTTCTTTTTCATCATTTAATTTTTTTACTCTTTGCTATACATATTTTAAGTTGCTTCTTATTTCTTCATTTCCAACATTTTCGTATATTTTCTTCAATCACTTCAGTTTATTTTATTTAATATTTAATTTTGATTTTGAACTTTGCGTTCGTAAAACTTTTATGGATACATAATTTTCGCCCTCAAATGCACTTAGGGCGACTACAGCCAGCAGAAACTATGTACTATAATCGCATAAGTATAGCTAGTTGAAAAATCATTTGCAGCATTTTGCATAGCTAGACTCACTTTTCAGCAATTCGCAAACAGTTTTTTCACACTCATTAATTACACATTTTATAATTGATTTCATTTCATTCACATTTAATTACTTTTTCATTTAGTATTAAATAAATTAAATTTTCCCCAAATTCACTTTGCTTTGTATCCGACGGTCGATTTCAAACGGCAGCCGAAACGCATGAACCACACATTCTGAGCTTCGAACCTAGTATGAAATTTTTTTTCTTTTAACCCGGTCACACCCTCTATTGCTGGGTATACGAGTACGAGCTCTCAAATATGCAAAAGTACATATTCGCAGATTGTATGTACAATTTGTGGGAAAAATAAATATACGGAACAGGATTCAGGATTCAAGTACACTGCTAAAATGGGAATAGAGAGTACCTACGAGAGAGAGAGAGAGAGCGCGTGAAAGTTAGTGCGCATTTTCGTTGCGATTGCCCTGTGAGATTTCAATAATTTATGCCTTTATCGCTTTGTTTATATGATTGGCAAGTATCCTGATTTTTTAGAACAACAACAGTTATGTTCTTGTTACAAGGTATGTGGTGTTGTAATCAAAAGCTCAGGCGCTCTTGTTGTAGATGTGTGGATTCGCCGTATTATTTTATGTATGTACATTTGTATGTCCTCATACATACGTATACAAATATATTCACATCGTTAACCGATGACAGGAAGGAAACCTAGCCAATGCCGGAAGTACATATGCATTCCCCTATCAAAGCAGCCCTTTGTAGTATATGTATGTACTATAGTAGACACTTGTGTTGACCTGAAAAACGGAGTAATTTAGAGTTGCTAATGCTCAAAGATTTCAATAAACGAGCAGTGTACATTAGGATTTCAATGAATAGAGCGGCGCAACAAGATCCCCAAGTTGATATCCGGCAGCATTTGGAGCAAAGACAACGAAACGTTGCTGGCAACATACAAGGCAATTGGTTGGCCGGTTCTAAACTATGCAGCGCCTGTGTGGTTGCCGCGGACTAGAAGGACGCAGTGGACGAAGCTGCAGACCTACCAAAACACGGTACTCCGGACAGCGACCTAATGCCTTCTGATGTCGCCACAATATCATCTACACGACGAGGCTCAAATGTGCTGCAAGCAATTCCTAGTAGGGTGTCACCGACCGTGAGCACCCAAACAGGCACTCGCCAAGGTGCGTCATAAGGCATCTATACGAACAACTGACGGACGAAGTCCAGAGGTTCATAAAGCAACCTCTGCACTCGACAGCATACCGACAGGCCATAAACGGAATTCACAGGGTATCAGTGTCGATCTATACTGACTCTCGACCTGTGAATGCCGTTTTGGGAACACAACCACCTGACGTGGACGACAAAGAGCTTTGTCTGCCTCGGGAGACTCGGACTACAATAGCCCAACTTCGCTCTGGCTACTGCAGCAAGTTTAACTCGTTTCTGAGCAGATTAGATGCAGATGTGTCCAACAAGTGCCCGGAATGCGGAGAGACACACCACAACTCAAAGGATATTTCCCATACCCACTAAACCCTGCTCAGCTAATGCCTCTGTCCCTATAGACAAACGCCGTAGAAGCTGCACGCTTCCCGGGTCTCCCGTTATTTGCGCTTGACGACAACTATTGAGAGACTATCCCTGAGGATGGGATATAAATTTGTATGAGAAACACCAGTGGAAGTTCCTCTTTTATTGTTGAAAACCGATCTTTAAGTCGACAGGTGTTCATGGCCTCAAATAAAACCTCTCTCTTAGCAAGTTTAGCATACAAAGAACTGGAAGAGTAGTTGTAAAGTGATGGTTAAACCTCGTCTTCATTCTGAATTCAGAACATTTCTTCTTAAGGTGGATTTAACATCGGTAACCTAGAACAGAGTGACAGAAAGACTTAACACAGTGGGAGATCGTAGCCAAAAATCCAAAAGAAATTAAGGTGTTGTAAATACGTTTGTTTTAATTAAGTTTTTTTATTGTTGTTCTCGTTGTACCACTAAGCTTCGTTAGATTCGGGAACGGAAAGGTGGAGATGCTAGGATCGTCGAACGTGCCAGCATCATTTCCAAGAGATGACATAGGAAAACTATAATATTTGAAATGAATATTAAATAGAATTATGCTACAACAATTTATGCCTGGAACTGGAACATCTCTTCCTTCGAGAGGCTCATCCAGGCTGGCATCCCGTATTAGTATATAGGCGGCTGGAAACCTCCAGAAGTAATAGGGGCAGAAAACTTAACCGTCAGAAGAAAGATGTATTTGCTTTGGGGAAATATCCGAGCATAGTTCAGGCGGAGCTAAATGAATGTATGTGTGTACATGTGCAACGACACACTTGGATATTTAAGAGATTGTTCTTTGTGATACCACGAAAAAACTCAACGGAGACCCTTAATTTAGTCGGCGAAACGCCCCGAGCCGACTACCAAATTTCGAATGCGGCTATTTTCGATTCCTGAGAGCTCAGTGTTAGTTAAGAAGTGCAAGCTAAAATGCTTCCCTGTTAGCCTCGTGACCCGTGTGGCCCGACACCTAAACTAGCCTTAATAAGAAGTGCGATTGATAGAGAGGTCAGACATTCCTTTACCGATTTCGAGTGCACCATTACACCCTTTAGCAGTGGGTTTACCGCGTCTTTGATGGCAGCTATTTCAACCTGAAAGACACTGTAGAAGTCCGGAAGCCTGAACATAGTTCTGGTGGAGAGTTTCCGACAGAACAAACCTCCACCAACCATGTCTCCAGGTTTTGATCCGTCCGTAAAGAAGTTTACCGCTCTCTTCTTCGAGTAGCTCCGCCATACCCGGTCCTCTCTTCAGGGAATATGGGTAGAAATTCTGAGAGCCTTTTCGGAGGCGCTGTAATCTATGTGTTCGGGAAGAAGTCAAAGCTCTCCAGAACTCCAGAGTGTTGTCACTCGATTTCCTGTCAGGAATATCCGCAGGCGCCGTGTTCCTAATGCTCCACTAATTCCGATAAGTGCGATCTATTTTGAACGAGCAGTAAAAGGCAACCGACGCCTTTCTTACCCTTTCCTCAATATTAGGTTTCTACGACATCTTTCTATCCAGGATCAACCCTAAGTACTTGACCCTGTCTGAAAGCCGCAGACGAACACCCCTACTCGAGGTAAGGGCCGCAACGGAAATCTTGTACTTCCTGGTAAACAATACCAGTTCCGTCTTGCTGGGATTTGGGTCTATCAGTCTCTCTAGCGTTTCTAGCAAAAACGAAGACATATTAATAGGCCTAAAACCCTAGGGGAAGCATGAGGGCCTTTTCCGGCCTTCGGAATGAACGCAACACTGATCACCTCCAAGCCTTGGGAATGTACCAGGTCCTAACACAATTCATATAAATAGGAGCCAACCAATTGCCTGACACCTGAAGAGCCCTTTGCAGCTGCGTAGTTATGATGCCGTCGGTTCCCGGCGACTTGAAGGGATTGAACGAATTTATCGACCAGGCCATGTGACGATAGTCCAGAAGATCGGAGTAGTTCAGAACCTGAAGTACAAAATATTGCAAAGAATACTTTTGACTGTACTGCGAAGTACGAAGTACTGTACTTCCGAAAGAAGTACGGTTGGTCACATTAAGCATGGGTACCAGGTTAAGAAACATGGAATATATTCGATATTCTTTGTACCAGGCCAAAATAGAATAGAGGAAAATGATGTAGAAGATTGTCTTGCAAGGGAGGCAGTAAATTGTACACCAACTGACCCGGAGCCCTTCCTAATACTAACACCCGATTTACATGATTCAAGTACTTGAAAGCAATTCTTGCTCATTCTCTTTTGTGGTTTCTATTTGCTTTTACACGTTTCAATTTTGTTGAATTCAAGTTTTTGGTTCTTTAAATGGGAAGCAACGAAAATGCCAAAAGCAATGCAAGAAAGTTGAAACGACTTGACGGTACAGACACATGTCTACTCGTCCCTTTTCTTCTCACCCCCTCTCTTCCACATGCGAGCAGAATTGAATTCAATACTTGAACTGTGTAAAAGTAGTCTTAGGAAGAGCTCAGAAAAAAGAGGAACACACTGAGTGAACTTAATTAGCGAAGCTCAAGCACAGAGTTTTTTGAATGGTTATAATATGAAGAGATTCCGACAACCAATCAGCCTTCCAAAAGAGAAACTTAGATTATTGATAGGTATAGGTATTGGAAATGGATTTAGTACGGGAATAGAACCGTAAAGTATGGCAGAAGAACCGGTTTTCGGGTTTCAGATGGTTTTCACATTTGCGCGAGAGCCGGTTTTACGTTCGGAAAGGCCTCGAGTTATTGATATGCTATGAGTTTTGTCAGAGGCATTGGAATAGGGCGGTAACTGACGCTATTTTATTTAGGTGCGGTGAAATAGCTAGCTATGTACAGGTACAGGAACAGATGTGAGACTTTTTTCTGCGTCAAAATTACATTCTACGTTCTACGTTTGAAAACTCACAATGAAAACCATTTTTCTAAAATTTTACCATAATGTACTACGGCAACTCTGCGGTATTTGTCCTCTACTTCCGGTAGTGAAATTCCTATGATTTCCGGTAGTGCATTCCAATGATTTCCGGTAGGGCATTCCAGAAAAATTCCAGCGAGTTTGACAGCTGACAGTTTTTTGACGTTTGTTATTTTTGTTTGTTGACTTTTTGATTTTATTCTCATCCGCGAATTTTAGCAATTTATTTGTGTTTGGAGTAAATCGCCGAAAAATGCAATTAAAGTAGAATTTGTGACCGATAAAAAGGACAAAGACCAAAGCAAAATAAACAAAAATTGGAATTCCAGTTTGCAGCAGTTCTCAATGTAAACTCTAGGCCAAACCCACTCTATCAACGATGTCTGTGAAGTCACAACGAAAGGCCGTATCTACAAACGCAAATGCGTTAGGTGAAGGAGCTTCCCGGGAAAACCCCAATTATGGCCTAACCACGAGAGTTGCACTAGCTCGTCTGCATGATGATATAGAAAAGTTGTTGCGTGAACATGAAGCCACCTATGCCAAGGAGAGGTAAGTGTACAAGGGGTATACTATATGCATATATACACACATGCTATACGCGCGTGTGTTTAGTCTAGTCAAGATTTATTTATGTATATATGTGTGTGCATATTGTTTGCCTGTTAGCATACTTAATTATTAATAATATTTGGATTGCTTCCAAAATTTCTTGTTGTTGTTCATTGCAGCTTCTATCGCAAACTGCGTTCGGCATTCGTCAAACCCAGCGACACACCACTAGGATGGCCTGCAATCACAGCCACTCTATTCACTATGATTGCGCTACTTATCGCCGACGCATATCTGGCTGCGATCTGTGTTGCGGCTATCTTATCATTGGATTTGTGCGTGGTGGTGCGCGAGAACAATTTACGTCGTACCGAAATCTACCGCAAGACACGCCAGGCACTCGCCGATATAAGACTCGCTGAACGTGATCTATGCGGCGAGTGGCAACCATGCAATTATCCGCATATTTGTTGTCCAATTTCGCCTTGCGTGTCGCTGCAGTGGACATATCGCGATGGTAATATTGTAAATCTGCCGTGGGCCCTACTTGTACGGGGCGATCACATCGTGCTACGGCCGGGACATATAACACCCGGCCCATGTGCGGAGGTGAATGGCAAGCGCACATTTGAAATGCATGAAATCTATGGTCCAACACAAGTTAATGATCCTCCAGTGCGCCCATTGGC